ATGTCATGAGACAAAGTGTATGTGAACTGCTGTATGGAAAGTGAATTTGCTCTGTAAATTTTCACCCAAATCACAATTAAAAAAAAAAAAAAGAGTGCAATCTTCTGTCACAACAGTTAAGTAAAATTTCTTTAATAAAATCACTTTCTCTTTTAAAAAAAACTATTTGTGTCTGAAGTTCAGTTAATAAAAAGGCTTTTTAGCTGAAATTGGAGATACTGTTTGACCTAGCAATCCCATTACTAGGTATATATCCTAGAGAGGTGAGAGCCAGAACAGGAACAGACATATGCACACCTATGTTCATCGCAGCACGATTTACAATAGCAAAAAGATGGAAACAGCCTACATGCCCATCAGTGGAAGAGTGGATAACCAAACTATGGTACATACACATAATGGAATGCTATGCAGCACTAAAGAATAATGTAGAGTCTGCAAAACACCACATAATATGGATGAATTTGAAGGATGAACTGAGTGAATAAGTCCATCACAGAAGGGCAAATATAGTATTAGTTCGTTGTTGTGGAAAGGTTTATATATGGAGGGAAACTTTCTTTGTTGGTTGCCAGGGGTGGGAGGGGAGGGGAGAGAACACTGCAAAAAAAAAAAAAAAAACCAGTGACCCATGTCACTTTATAGTTTTGTGTATTTCACTGTACATAAACTGTATTTCAATAAAATACATTTTAAAAAATAAATAAAAAGGCTTTTTAATGCTAAGCCCACAGAACAGCAGCAGCAGAGGCCTTACCACTTCTATTTCCAGTAGGTTCTTCTTCTTTTCAAGTGTTCTCACGTGACTAGTCGCCTCATTCAGCGCACTGTCTAACTGGCCACATCTAAAAACCACAAAAAAACCACAAATCACAACTAAGCAATTAAAGGATAAAAGCCTTTCCCTGAAAAGTATCACACATAGCTGAATGACTCTCCAAACAACACGTGGTCAGTTCTCCAGTGTTCGCTAAGACTCAGGATGCCATTTTAGTGAAATACATCCCAATGAACCGACATTACAGAATCCAGAGAAAACGACAGGAAGCCAATCATGAAAAGATGTCTAAAAGAGTAAAATACTGGAAATACATAAAATAGCTTGACTTTATCATGAAAAAACTCTACATATCCATGTATCTATCCTTATATATGCATAAGGATAAAAAAAAAAAAAAACCTGTAGGACACGAGACTAGAGATTGGAGAAGAATCCTGCTGATTATTTCAAGTTTAGCATGAATGTGTTCTTCTCAGAATGAAAAAGTTTCTTTGTAAAGTTACTTATAAAACCTAAAAATCAAAAAATAGAATAATTCAGTTAACATGTCAACTCAATGCTTAATCCGTACTGTGAACAATAAAAGCTAACATTTATTTGGGGCCAGGCTCTCTGTGAAGGGATTTTCATGCATCCTCACCATCCCTAAAGTTAAGACTGTTATTGCTCCCATTTTACAGATGAGAAAACAGAGCCAGAGACAATAAATGGCTTGGTGAAAGTCACACAGGCTGTAAACAGCCTCACTGGGATCCTAAGCCAGGCGGCCTGGCCCCAGCGTGCATGCAAGGACCCACAATTCTTCGATGCTTCCTAAAGAGTAAATGCTGATGAGTTAGCAACTAATACAGCTGTTCTTGACAGGAAGCTCACTTCAATGGTCAAGTCTGTGTGTCTTAACTGGAGGTTAATGTTTTTTTCACTGACTTGACATGCCAACATGTCCCCAGGTTGCACCTATGACCTAACAACTGTTAATACACTTGGCCTACCACAAAGGTGTCCTTGGCCCCATTATTAATACCAGAGCGATTTCCTACTTTGCAATTTTAAGTTCAGAAAACAAAAACAGGTACGTATGCTGATGTCTTAACACTGGCTTTTGTCCTAGGCTAACTGTTTCTCCAGTTGTGAATGACTGCTACTGTCCATGCTGTTCCTACTGCCTCCAAGACACACAGCTGTGTACTGTAAGCCACAGCAATGCCTTTTGGGGAAAGAGGTGAAAATGAACATGGTACTGCTGTTGGTTTGCACGCTATTATTACATTTACACTAATACCGTACTTGGCATTATTAACAACTGCTCTAACACACATGTTTCTAAAACCCTGACTTTCAGTCTGGTCTGTCTATGCTCTGTCCCTATGCCATTTGCTCCGCACGTCCGAAATACAAGAGTGCTTTCACTGGCCGTTGCCTGCTGGCTGCCTTCTTTGGCCAGTGCTGCATGAGACATCACATAACCTCACAGTTACACAGCCCACTGGTGGGCTCCCCTCATACTTCTGCTTTCCAACTGCAAGTACCTGTGGTCACCTTTGCTTTCATCAAAGAAACAAGAGCCAATTTCCCCTAGCCTGCACTCTCCCCTCTCCCTTCTGTCCTGAAAATCCCAAACCTGGCTTTTTCTCTGGCTGTTTTCAAAGTGTTTCTCCCTACTACCACACCCACATGCCCATCTCCCAAAAGTAAAATTGCAGCTGTAGAAACTAGCAGAACATACATGAACATTCACAGCACCATTATTCATGATGGCCAAAATGTGACAACCACCCATCAACAGATGAAGGAGCGAATACACAGACTATGGCTAATCCATACAGTGGAATACTTATTTGGCTATAAAAAAGAATGAAATGCTGATAATGCTTTGACTGAATGAACCTTACAAACATTATGCTGAGTGGAAGCAGTCAGACAAAAAAGGACAAATATTTTATGACTTCACTTATAAATGAAATGCTCAGAATAGGCAAATCGGAGACAAAGATTAGTGGTGTCTGGGGCTGGCAAGGGACAGAGAGGAAGTGTAGAAACACCCAGGACTAAGACAGCTCTGCTAACCACCAGAACAACCAAGAGTGATGTGACAGAAAGGCTAATTTTCTTGTAATTCTGAAAGTTAAATTACTAACGCAGTAGATCTCCTTCCCAGCCTCTTTTAATGGGGCCTAGTCTTTTGTTTTGTGTTGGCCTTGGAGGAGATGCTCTGCTATCACGAAGATCCACAACAGTTGTCAGTATGTTCAGGTGCCACTGAACTGTACAGCACGGTGCAAGTACTTCGATACTTATACTAGTCAAGCATCAAACTGTGTAAACAGTTCTCTAAAACAGGTAGAAAGCTACCATGAACATGAAGCCACTCCCAGCCCTCTTGTGTTTCTATGCCTCTGAGTGGGATAATTATTTCCACAGGTTCATCAGGCCTAGCTTAGATGTGCATGTCTGGATATAAAAAGAAGGCTGACACCTGCTGTCAGACTCATCAGGGAGTCCCCAGAGCTAATCCTTCCACAGATGTAGGACATTACGCAACACACACGAAGTCTGCTCAACTCTTTCAGGACTGTGCTCATATGAAACAAATGCCACAGGTCATTTATTATACATGGTTGGCTCAAGTCTTTAAAAACAGTTACGTAGGCAAACATTGTTCCATACTAAAATGTTCAAATCCAAGTGTCTTATCAGCACAATGTGCTATACTTTTGGGGAAGTAACATATCCGAGTTGGAAAAACACCAACTTCCTAGGGCCACACTCTAAGTCATACCTGTCTGCGAGAATCTGATTGGCTTTCTTCCACTCTTCAGCTGCAGACCTTTCCTTTGCCTCCAGTTTCTGTTTCAAACTATTCATTTCTGATTCATAATAAGCTCGGAGATCTGCTACGTGTCGAGCATGCTTCTCCTTCAGGCTCTGCCTGATCCTGTTGGTGTGAGGAAAAACGCATGTGAGGAAAGGACACCCAGCCCCTCAGTTCCTTCAGAGAAACCAAGAACACAAGCATTCTCCAAAGCAAAAAGGCAGCCATGTTTCCCCTGCACACCCACAGAAGACTTAGAAGATTCATCCACAGAAAGTCAGAGCTAATAAGGTTTCTATGAAAAAGACAGATTCCTTCTTTAAATGTATCTGAAAAACACTGTATCTTTTAAAAAAAACTTTTAAGATTTTTATTACTAAAGTTTGATATAAGTCATTTTCTTCATTCAGACAGACATAACAGAAAATCTATTAACATTACAAGCTATTCACTGAAATACATACTTAGACAATATCACAGGATCTTCCAAGGAAGTCAATGAAATGCATTCTGGGACACTGTTGGCTGTACCTGGAAGCTGAGACCGACTGACTGAGGCTGAAGTTACCATGACAGTGTTTTCTTCATCAACAGTGTTGACCGAGGTATTGTTGCTATCGATGGTGTACACTGAAGGGAACGTGGAACTGGTCCTACTTTCATTTTGGAATGCGTGATTTTCCCAAGAGTCCACTAGGGAAGCCTTTGTGTTTGATGGGTACTTTGGGAATCCAGGTAACTGAGAAGCCGAAATACTTGCTTGTGAAAATGAGTCTATGTCAGAGTGGCCAGATATACTAGCCTCTAGGACAGAGTCTGGTGGAAAGGAAACTCGGTCATCGAGTACATTCACAAAGCTATGTGGCTGAATCCCTGAAATCTGCCGACCTGGCTTCACATGTAATGTCGGGTCGAGAGTCAGTACCTAGAAACAAGCAGACAACAGTAAGGCTTCCACCTCACTCAGTGTTTGTTGCATTAGTTTTTAAACAAGTAGACTTTAGGCTTCTGAGGGAAATAGATGCTTAAGATAAATGTTAGAATCCTGAATCTTCCATCCTGACAACTTTACCTCAGGTGGATGGTTTGGAGCGGAAGCAGAGGTGAGACTCCTCTCAGGTAACTGTTGGTTTTCTCTTTGTTTTTTATGATAAATATCTTTCAGTGATGGTAGCTTCATTTCATTACTAGTATTAGACTTAAAGACACAAAATAAAATTATTAAATAGTATTAGCAGCAGTGAAAAAAATTTGCCAATATCAAGATCAGAACTATAAAAAGACTGAACAATTTTAAGCATCATTTGAGAATCTAGGTGGTCAAATATCTATGCTATAAGCTTCAAATCTGTTATCTGCTATTAGGAATCCACCGATTTTCATATCCCGAGAAGGACCTGACTACCGTCCAGGAAGAAGCCAGGAGTAGACCATGGCCTTTGTCCTTGTCCTGACAAGCTCCTAGACCCAGGGGAAGACTGACGCCAAGATACATGGAGATCTGCAAGGAACGCCAGACCCACAGATACTGGAGGAGACAAGGACTTTCCCTCCGAGCCGACAGAGAATGCCCTCCCCAAGAGCTGGCATTCTGAAGGAAAATTTCTAGCCCCTTAAACTGTGAGAAAACAAATTTGTTAAAGACAAAAAACTTAAAAAGGGAGTATTCTTTCCTTTTTTATGTTCTGGAATCTTGGGAGCTCTGGTGGCATAGTACCTAAGGCATGACTTGCTAACCAGAAGGCTGGTGGTTCAAGCCACTCCTCAAAAGGAAGGTTGGGCAATCTACTTCCGTAGAGACACCACCTCGGAAACCCAAGGAGGGGTCACTGTGAGTCACAATCCACTCCACGGCAGTGAGTTTTTTGAGTTTAATGAGTAAGAGAAGACAGGACTCTGCCCAATTCCCAAAGCTGGCTTGGCCTAGAAAGGTAGCACATAGCAGCTATTAACTACTATCAGGATTCAGACATGCACATCCCTGGTTGAGATTGCTTCCAGGTGGAATTTATCACAGGGCGTGGCCAAGGCTCCAATTTACCCCTGGGCTACACATAAAAATGGTAGACAATCTCTCAAATGAGATTATAAATTCAATCAGAGGCACTGAAAGAAGACAGTCATCACATAGTTTTAAACTGACAACTTTACGCCCCATGTCCAGACCCTCCATAAACTGAAGAACACCATGAATTAATATTTTTTAACAAACCTTAAAATTGACCTGTGAATAGGATAATGAATCGTATTGTGTGCATGCATTAGAAACATTCATCTGTGAAATGTAAGCACTTAAAATTGACAACAATTTCTATAACCCTATCTTAGCATTTTACTTTTTAGTACACCTAGAACCAGAAGTCCCTTCATAAGCCCTGAACCAAACCAAAAAACCAAATCCACTGCCGTGGAGTCAGGTCTGACCCATAGCGGCCTCTCCTTGGGTTTCCAAGGCGATATCACTATGGAAGTAGATTGCCCAATCTTCTTTCAGAGGAGTGGCTGGTGGGTTTGAACCGCCAGCTTTGTGGTTAGCGGTCAAGTGCCTCAGGCACTATGCCACCAGAGCTCCCGTAAGCCTTGACGTATACATCGTATAGCAACCTTCCCACCTGAGGAATCCTTGCCTGCTACTCAGCGAATAGCTGGAGTCAGTCTTCTCAAGAGTTCACAGAACCATTTTCCCACCACTGTTATGACATCCTTTTCATATTTTAGCATCTTTCAAGTGGAGTTACATCTTGTAATTAAAGGGATCTTACAATCACTTTCAGCCAAGTAGTGGCTGTGACTTGTCATTGCCCGCTCATAAGCAAATATCAAAGCCATCAAAATTGGCCAAACAGGTTTGCGCTGCTTGGAAGGAAATCCAAGGGAACCAAAAATGTAAGGAGAGGGTGGATCAGATCTTTTGAGCGACATTCCCCATCCGGGAGTCAGAAGGAGGCTAGTTCTCCACCATCACAAGGACAGTGAAGGGCTCAGCACCAAGGCCTCACGCTCTCACGTGAATTCTTTTAAAGTGATGCCGATCACCAAAGCGCTTGGTGGCACAAAGAAAGCTAGTGTGTGCCAAACCACAAAAGCCAACACGCAGCTGGAAAGAGGAAAGTGTGAGCTCTCTGTCCTGAAGAGCACACTACAGCCAGTTTATTTCATTTGTGCTTTCCTTTTTAAGTTTGCTTTTTAAGTAAGAGTGAGATGATAAAATTCCAGACTTAATTTAAGTATAAACATTCTTTCTACAAGCATAAAAAAATACTCCAAGGGATGAGAAAGCACTGTCTCAGTCTAACTGGCAAGATTTTAGTTTCCTGATAGAATATGAAATGGGGAATCTTGAAACTCGAGGGTAGCTTAGATATTTACCTACAGGCATCCCCCAGAGACACTGGGGGTTCAGTTCCAGATCACTGCAATAAAGTGAAGGTCGCAATCAAGTGAGTCATACGTATTTTTTGCTTTCCCGGCACATACAAGTTATGTTTACACCGTAATATAGTCCGGAGGTGCAGTGCCTAAGGCATGTGACTGCTAACCAGAAGGCTGGTGGTTCAAACTTAGCAGCCACTCTTCAGAAGACTGGGCAATCTAGTTCCTCAGAGATACTGCCTCAGAAAGCCAAGGAGGGGTCGCTATGAGTTGGATCCGACTCTACAGCAGTGAGTTTGGTTTGGGTTTTTTTACTATAGTCTGTCTTGAAGAATGCAACAGCATTATATAAACGTTTGAAATACTGTGAGAATGACCTAAATGTGACAGAGAGACACGAAGTGAGTACTTGCTACTGGAAAAATGACACCGACAGGCTTGCTCAACACAGGGTTGCCACAAACTTTCCATTTGTAAAAAATGCAGTTATCTGTGAGGCGCAATAAAGTGAGGTGTAATAAAATGAGGTATGTCTGTGTTACAAAACACTATTTATTTACGATGTTCGAAATCAAGAAGATACTGTGAGCCAAGTAATTAGAGAGCCTACTAAACAATTATAACCCTACTTCCCTGTACTTCCTATCTCATTTCTCTCTTCTTTTGTTCCTTTGCTGACATGTTGGCCTCCATCACTCTCTGAGACTCTGATGCCTATGGTGCACTGGTGTCCCCAGCCCCATCTGCCCGTACATGTCCCTCCCTTTTACGTCTCTCTTGGTTATTTTAATTGCCCCTCCCTAAAAAAACATGTTCACTAACCCCCAGTACCCGTGAAGGTGACCTCATTTGGAAATAGGGTCTTTGCAGATGTAACCATGTTGAAATGAGGTCACACTGGATTAGCAAGGGCCCTAATCCAATGCTGGTGGCCTTATGAAGAGGGGGATTTGGACACAGAAGGAAGCTGGCCATGGTAAAATGAAGGCAGAGATGGGAATGAAGCTGCCAAAAGCCAAGGAATGCCAAGACTGCGGACAAGCAGCAGAACCTGGGCAAGACAAGGAAGGATTCTTCTCAGAACCTTCAGGGAAGTGTGGTCCTGCCAAGACACTGATTTCAGACTCCAGAACCACGAGAAAATAAATTTCTGTTGTTTTAAGTCACCTGGTTTGTGATAGTTTGTTATAGAAGCCCTAGGAAACCAGGGAACTTCCAGAATTTCACGTTGGATTCAGAAGAGTATGTGGAACTAAGGATATCATTGCTGATGTCAGATGGATCCTAGGTGAAAGCAAAGAGTATCAGAAAGATGTTTACCTTCCTATTTGCTGATGATATGACCCTATACGTAGAAAACCCAAGAGACTCAACAAGAAAAGTACTGGAACTTACTTAAAGATTTAGCACAGTGGCGGGATACAAGATCAACTCAAAAAAATTAGTTGGATTTCTCTGGGAGGAATGGCTCCCAAAAGAAAAACAGGGGCTCTAATTTCTGGCACCAGGGAGCTCTGATGGTATAGTGTCTAAGGCATGTGACTGCTAACCAGAAGGCTGGCAGTTCAAACCCACCAGTCACTCCTCGGAAGGAAGACTAGGCAATCTACTTCCGTAGTGATACTGCCTCAGAAATCCAAGGAGGGGATGCTATGAGTCAGGTCCGACTCGATAGCAGTGAGTTTGGTGTTTGTTAGTTTAAATTTTTGGCATAAATAGACTATCAAGCATAACTCAAGATTCACAAATAACAGAAGATAATATAATAGGTTATCGGGATCTTCTAAAAACTAAATTCTTACGTGCATCAAAAGACATCTCCAGAAGAGTAAAAAGGACAACCTACAGAATGGGAAAAAATATTTGGGAATGACATAACAAAGGACTTATCTTTAAAATTTATAGAAAACTCCAACACCTCAACATCAAAATGACAAATAATCCAATTTAAAAACACACAGAAGACATGAACAAACATTCAGGCAGCCAACAAACACATGAAGAAATGTTTATGATCATCAGCCATTGTTGTTGTTGTTGTTATATGCCCTTGAGTCGGACTCAACTCCTAGCGACCCCTCCTTGGGTTTCCAAGGCAGTATCACTACAGAAGTAGATTGCCCAACCTCCCTTCCAAGGAGTGGCTGGTGGGTTTGAACCGCCAGCCTTCTGGTTAGCAGTCAAATGCCTTAGGTATTACGCCAACAGAGTTCCTATCCTTTTACCATACTTATGAAATAACCAAAATATTTTGTTCATTTTAATTAACGATTAATCTGTATGCTGAGCAAATAATCTGGGAACCTGGACTATATGAAGAACATGGCATCATTATTAGAGGAAGATTCGTTAACAACTTGCAATATGCAGATGATACAACATTGCTTGCTGAAAATGAAGAAGACATGACGCACTTACTGATGAAGATCAAAGACTATAGTCTTCAGTACGGATTACACCTCAACATAAAAACAAAAATTCTCACAACTGAACCAATAAGCAACATTATGATAATCAGAGAAAAGATTAAGGTTGTCAGGGATTTCCTTTTACTTGGATCCACAATCAATGTCCATGGATGCAGCAGTCAAGAAATCAGATGTTATCGCACTGGGAAAATCAGCTGCAAGAGACCTCTTTGAAGTATTAAGGAGCAAAGATGACACTCTGAAGATTGAGGTGCACTTAAAGCAAGCCGTGGTATTTACAATTGCCTCACATGCATGTGAAAGCTGGACAATGAATAAGGAAGACCAAAGAAGAGTTGATAGCTTTGAATTATGTTGGCAAATACTAAAAATACCATGGACTGCTGGAAGAACAAACAAATCTGTCCTGGAAAAAGTGCAGCCAGAATGTTCCCTAGAAGCAAGAATGGCCAGATTTCATGTCACCTACTTCGGTCATGTTGTCAGAAGGGACCAGTCCCTGGAGAAGGATATTATGCTTGGGAAAGCAAAG